GGTTGGACAGCGATTCCCAGGGATCCACCTGTCTCCGCCTCTCCCGTGCTGGGATTACAAGCGTGTGCCACCATGCCCAGCTTTTTATGTTTTTTGAGATGCAGACTTAAACATGAGGTCTTGGTGTTGGTGCAGTAAGCTCTACTGAATAAGCTTTCTCCCCAGCCTGGGAGTTTCTTAAACTCTTCCACGGCTTTCACAACCCCTCCCTCACACAGCATAAGAGACACGGTTATGCCTTTGAAGGCAGCCAAGAAGCTAGGTTCTCCTCCAGAACCAGGTCTCAACTGGAGGCTCTGGGGCATGGCAAGTAGTGGCCACTGGTGAGGAGTGGGCAGTGGCAAGCTGAGGGCAGGACCTGAAGCCAGAAGAGGCTGGATGAGAAAGAGGGGGTCGGGTTAACGGTATGATTCTCTCTCTGGTTCAGCACCTTTGTCCCTCGGAGCCTATGACCCAGGTCAAGTTTCCCCCCTGCGCCTGGAACCAAGCATGCGGAACACAGGAACCGATTGCCCCCAGAGAATCCAGTGAGGCCCTAGGACAGGGTCCAAGGTTCTGTGACTTCAGGGTCTTGCTCAGCCAGGCCTGGCATCCAACAACAGGTTCTGAGAGGAAGTCAGGCTTAGGGAACTTGAGTGCTTCGGGCAGAAAAAACAACTGCTAATTTTGAATCAGGCACTTACCACCTCCTGGCTCCTCAGGAATTCCAACCCATGTCCTGAAGCCTATGTAAGGATGCGGGCAGTTGACCTACTCTCAGGCCCAGAACTACACTCAGGGCAGTGCCTCCTCAAAGAGGCTGAGGGGAGGGAGGAGGTCAAACCATGCTTACAGCATGTTAGAGGCCGGGATGTGTCCGTAGCCCCTTGGGCCCACTCTTCGGGAGGCCTCCTTCAGGGTCTCAGGCTTCGGAAGCCTGTGTTCTTCCCAAGTCTTCAAGAGTCAAAGCATCTCTGAACTCGGGAACAGCTGACAACTCAGACCCCATGAGCCGGACTTCTCCCCTCTAGCTCCTCCTCCCCACTCCAGGCCAACCCCTGCAACGTGCCTGCCAGACACCCCTCCTCAGCTCCTCCTCTCCGTTGCCCTCTCCCACAATTTCATACATTGCTACTCTCTAGGACCACACTGCTGACGCCTCCAAGCCCGAGTCCCCAGGCTGCACGGCGCTCAGGTGAACCCTCTGTCCTGGGTATTCCCCCTGGAAATCCTTCCTCTGACAAGGAATGGCCATTCCCCAACCTGCTTTTCTGTTACTGTAGCCAGATGCCAAGCCAGACACCAGGGCAGCTCCCCAGATTCGGTGTCAGAGACTTGGGTCAACTCTGCCCCTTCCTGCTCCTGGAGTCTATGCCGGGCCCTAAGTCTCATCAAGCACTGGTCTCTCGTCCGGCTCCCTCTCTGCCCTGCAACCACAACGCCTTAAGTTATTTATTTTATCAGTTTGTCCGTGTGTGTGCTGGGACACGGCACTCGTAGGGAGGTCAGAGGACAACTCTGTGGGGTTGGTTCTCTCCTTCCTCCTTTGCGTGGGTTCCAGGGTTTGAACTCAGGTCATCATCGGGTTTGCGTCCTACTTGCATGAGTCAAGTACCCTGAACAGTTGTCTCACTAGGCTTCCAAGGGCTTGTCTATCATAATTCTATCATTTTGAAGAAGAAAAAAGACACAGATGAGCCTCAGCTGCTCTAAACTGCTCTAAACACACTCTCTCTCTCTCTCTCTCTCTCTCTCTCTCTCTCTCTCTCTCTCTCTCTCTGTGTGTGTGTGTGTGTGCTTCTGAGGCCCTAACCAGTATTGTCCACTAAAACAAGAAATCCATGGGAGTCTGCTTAAGGAGTATCAGGGAATTTATTAAGTTATAAATTGAAGAAATACACTCACAAATACAGAACCGAGTAGGCAGCTGAAGTCAGTCGTCCGTTGATCTGACCAGGAGCGAATCCACCTGGCAGTTGAATCACACCAGGAAGAAGGGAGCTGGGACCTCGAGAAGCCTCTTCCCTTTCTTTTAAGAAGTTGAGTACACTGGCAAGAAGCACCACCTCCTTTAGGCCATATAGCCCAAGGTCATGGGCGGAGCAAATACCGCTCCAGTCCACTCCAGCTTCAGGCTGATTAGGGACTCTCAGACAGGCACGGTGGCCAGTCTGAAATCCCTGCCTTTCTCAAGCCCCTCCCTGCATCAGCCACTTCCTCCACCCCCATTTCCTTCTCTGAGGACTTTCCCTTCAAAGGCTCACTGGGTGGACACAGGCAGGAGAGCTACCTGACTTGTGAGGATGGCCCCTTGTCTGGGACAAACAGACAACACCTCCCCACACCCAATCTCATGTGTGCTACAGGACCCTGCCCCTTGCATCCCCCAAGTCTTAGCTGATTAGATCAGTGGTGAATTCATGACCAAGTTGGACCAGTGTCTTGCCTGATTCCTTGGAACTTAGACTCCTCAAGGTTTTGGAAGTTCCAGGAGAGTCAGTCACATCAATGTCCCTTTAAATGACAGAGCATTACAGATACAATGCCAGCCACTAGCCACAAGGCTAGGACAACCTGCTTCCTGCCTCCTAAATCAGCTGTCCCTTTGATTCTATGCCAGGATCCTTTTCCCCAGACTCCTTTCTACTGCTTATAATGAAAGAAGCTTAATTCAAGCTCCTCCCCTCTCAAGCTCCTCCCCTCAAGCTCCTCCCCCTCAAGCTCCTCCCCTCTCAAGCTCCTCCCCTCTCAAGGCAGCCTGTATGAGCCATCCTTCCCTCCCAGTCACTTTGTTGTTCTGTTTTGTTCATTTTGTTTTGGTTACAGATGTGCCACTGCGTGTGTGTACAGGTCAGGGGACTGCTCTTTGGAGTCAGTTTTTCCGTTAGACCAGTGGTTCTCAAGATGCAGGTCACTACCCCTTGGCATCATATATCAGGTATCTACATTACAATTTGTAACAGCAGCAAAATTACAGTTATGAGATATCAACAAAATAAATTTATGGTTGGGGGTCCCCACAGCATGAGGAACTGTATTAAAGGGTCGCAGCGTTAGGGAGGTTGAGAACCACGGCACGGGACCTGTACAAGGCTCAAATTCAGCCTGTCAGGCCCACACAGCAAACACTTTCCATTCTGGACCGTCTTGTGGGCCTCACAGTTTTCTTCTTTCTTTCTCTCTCTCTTTCTTTTCTTTTTTCTTTTTCTTTCTTTCTTTCTTTCTTTCTTTCTTTCTTTTTTTAGGTTTCTCGAGACGACGTCTTTCTACATTAGCCCTGGCTGTCTTGGAATTCACTGTGAAGACCAGGCTGGCCTCAAAGTCAGAGATCCACCTGCCTTCACCCCCAAATTCTGGGATTAAAGGCATGCACCACCACACCCGGCCTTCCCATCACTAAGATTCTTGATGACTCCTCCACATTTGCCTCCATTTCCACACCTTTCTACATTCACTCCTCAGTCATTCAACAAATGCCACTGTCCCTTGGAACCTTGTACCACAGAACCAAAATCCATATACATAAGCACCTTATACAAAATGGTACAATATTCACATATACCCCATGCATATTCTCCCATCTACTTTAAATCATCTCTGAAGTATTTCTCATTCTTAAATTTTGTTTTGTTTTGTTTTGTTTTTTTAGACAGGGTGTCTCTGCGCAGCCCTGTCTATCCTAGAACTCTCTGTAGACCATGCTGGCCTCTAACTCCAAGATCGGCCTACTTCTGCCTTCCAAATGCTAGGATTAAAGGCGTGTACCACCATTGCTGGCTTTAATTTTAATTTTGGGTGTATGGATGTTTTACCTGCACAAGTCTGTGCACCTCCAGTGCATGCAATTCTAGAAGAGGCCAGAAGCAGGTGTTGGATCCCCTGGAATTGGAGTTACACATGGCTGTGAGCTGCCATATGAGTGCTGAGAACTGAATCTGGATCTTCTGGAAGAGCAGTAAGTAGTCTTAACCCCTGAGCCGTCTCTTCAGCTCCACTTTGACTCTTAATAGAATGTGCCTTCACATCGCTCCATCTTCATGGACAAAACAGCGGTGCATGGCAAATTCAAAGCTTAATTATTTGGATCTCTGTGGACATCTTCACCAGATATTTTCCTCCAAGGTGTCCGAGTCTGTGAATGCAAAACCCTTGGATGTGAAGGGCTGAGTGTGTTCATTTAAGATCACCTTGAGTGAGAATCTGAGATGACAGAATAAGACAGAACCTGAAGCCTCCGAGAGCTCATGGTCTGCTCCAGCTGTCTCAGGATTAAAATGATACTGGAGAGGGAGAGTTGCTGGGAGTCATTTTTCTTCAGGGGTGTAGTTACTATGACAACACCCATGATCCAGGTACTAATCCTACATCTACACACATACAACCATTTACAACATTAAATCCACTGGCTTATAAAAAAAAAAAAAAAAAAAAGGAAGGTGACGTGGTGGGAGAGTGTCAGAGGGAGTAGCAGGGGGTGAGCAGGGGAGTGGGGTGAATAGAACCAATATCCATGACACACATGTATGAAATTGTCAGTTATCTTTATGTTCTTTTATATTGATTTATCTTGTGCCTGGGCACAAGCGAGCCACCACACACGTATGAAAGTCAGAAGACGTTTGGGAGTCAGTTCTCTCCCTTCTACCATGTGGCTCCTGGGCATGAAACTCAGGTTGTCAGCCTTGGCAACAAAGCCTCTTCTGAGCCATCTCACTGGCCTAGCAAAAATTATTTTAAGTCGGGCAGTGGTGGCACACGCCTTTAATCCCAGCACTCGGGAGGCAGAGGCAGGTGGATCTCTGTGAGTTTGAGGCCAGAGGGGTCTACAGAGTGACCAGGACAGCAGGGCTACAAAGGGAAACTCTGTCTTGGGGGGCAAGCAGATCATTTTAGTAAAATAAACTGTGACCAGCGAGATATTCGTTGGCGGTACCTGGAGGAGAGGGATTCTGGGCAGTGTCTTCCAGCTATGAGCAATGCGTTTAGAATCAGAGAAAATGTAAAAGGAATGACTTCTTATGTTAATCCAAAATGAAAATAGGTTTATTAATTCCTGTGAAAAACATGACATATTAAAACCAAGTCACATACTTAATTTTGACATGAAAATTTTTTTCAGTAAGAAATTTGGCACGGCCTTCTGCTGGGGCGTGTGTGAAATCCCGGGACGTGTAGGTCAGGGCTGCCATCGTGATGAAGGGCAAAGCGGCCCTGGCAGGGGGGTGACTACGGTAAAAACTTAAAGTAGCGGGGAGAGAGGCAAGGCAAGGAAATCAAGAGGCCTGCTCCCGGGGCCTTTCCCCACATTCATACACCGTCAGGGTTTATCCTGGGGCGGCAGGGAGCCACCCGAAGAGTTACTGAGAAACAGAATTGTCACTTTGGCGACTAGTATCGGAAAACAGAGTCCTGGTCAAGCTTTCCATACTAGCCACTTCTGACCCTGAGGCTTGAGGCATCACTGTCTTTCAAGTGCCGGGCATGGAGGGAAGTAGGGGGGTGTCCAAAGATGGGGCTCACAGAGCGAAGTGGTCCCGGCTGCCCGCTGTGTCCATCTCGCCGGCCCCAGGCTGAATGTAATTGTCCTCGATGAAGCCGTCGTCATCGTCGTCTTCACCCACCTGTGGGTGGTTCCCGCTCCTCGCTCCCGACAGTGGGCGGTGCTGATAGCTGGCACGGTACTTGCGGCAGAGGTGGCACTTGGCAGCAAGCGCGATGATTAGGGAGAGGACCACCGCCCCCAGCACAACCCCCACCAGCACGGGCCACGCCCGGCCCCCGGTGCCCAGTCCAGGGGCCATGGTTGGTGCGGTGTAATACTCTGAGGACTCGGCTGCACGGAAAGAGACAGGGTTACAAAAGGTCCCCAGATGGGGCTCCCCGGGCGAAACTGAGGGGACCCGATCCAACCTCAACCACCATGCCTCTCTACCACTCACTTTGGTTTGCTCCTGTCATGGAGAGGCCTGAGGACATTGGTGAGCCTTGGCCTCTGTCAGAAAAAGCCAGGGATACCCCAGGCTCCAGGCAGCCCTGGGGCACAAGTCCTGAAAAATACAGAGGTACAGGGGTCAGGGTTAGGGTGCTGAGGACAGGACCATTGCCCACACCACTGGTCCATGGACGAGAACAGGAGCTGCCATGAAATGAGGCCAGCTCTAAAAGGGGCAGACACAGGAGGTTCTAATGCCCTTAGTAAGCACACCTTAGGATTTAGGTACTAGCACTGTGCTCACAAAATCCCACTACGTAAGTATGAACACTATCTCTGCCTTATTAATGAGAGCACAGAGGCCCCCAAATGGAAAATGACGCAACCGAGGCCCCAGAGTTTGAACTCAGATCTCTGACACCAGAGCGTAGTCTGGTACTTTGCTTGGCAAGCTGATAGGAGTCAGGACAGAAGCCGCTGAATAGCAACTGTGAGGTTCTATCCAGCTCTGGAGTAGACCCCGGAACAGTAGGTCGTCCTCAGACAGTCAGGGCACCCTGCCTCTCCTCTCCTGTGTCAGGATCCCCCCCTACCATACACCCCTGTCCTTCCAGTGCCCTGTCCACTCACCCCTACCCACAGGGGTCCCACACTCTGCCACCACAGTGGGGCTTATACTAGGGAACGATTGCAGACGACCACCTGAGTAGAAAAAGCTCACGACGAGGGTCATGACGCTCAGGGCGGGGAAACCCTGGGGGAGGAGCATCTGAGCTAAGGGAGTAGCTGGAGAAGATCACATGTATAGGATTAGGCGTGGACACCTCTGAGGGAGGTCAACAGTGTATGGGGAGACGCACATGACCCTGAAGCATGGCCGGGAAAGGAAGAGCAAGACAGCTGAGGCTGGGCAGTGTCCTCGGGAGGACAGCGAGAGTCAGAGGTGTCGCTGGGCAGAGTGGCCAGGCAAGAGACTGAAGCACCCAGCTTAGGGGTGTATTCAGCCACACTGGCTCCTCTGTGTGACACCCCAAAGGATGCCCTCACTCGTGACGTACCCACCTCTTTCTCCAGTAACTCAGCCCTCCTTCCCACCCTCCGCCACAGCCGTGTCCAAGCTACCGACACATTGTCCTTGGAGACGCAGTCCCCAGCCAAGATCTCCTAACAGGTGTGTAACCACCGCCAATCCACTTCCCAGAGCCAACTCCGAGCCCATCACCCGAGGAAACTCCTTCACTGCTCCCCATAGGCCAAATATGTCCTGTTCTTGGTTGGGGGACTCAAAAGCCATCATGGGGCCCCAGAGCCCCACCCTACACACACACACACACACACACACACACACACACACACACACACACACCTCATCTACCCCTCAGCTCTCTGAGTTTTCATCCTTCATTGCCAAACCAGCCCTCCCTGCAGGTGAGGTTACTCCAGGGTCCATAGGTGGCCTCTGCCTCCTCAGCATCCAGTCAGAACTGGCCACCACCGGCCCCACACACTTCCCTGAGGCAGAGGACTCCGGGAGACCGGCTGGGGGCAGGGAGAAGCTGGGGCTTCAGTGCACAGCTTGTGGAGTGAATGAAGGCGGTGAGGAGAGAAGTGCCTGGACGGGGGAAGGGCAAGCCTCAGGAAGGAGCCATCCCTGCTTCATTCATTCATTTGCAAGCAGTCTTAGGTTGCCTTCTGTGGCCCTCTCCCCAGGCACTCAGTACTCAAGAAACAAGAGTTTGTTACACCTTGCAGTGAGTTCAGTTAGGCTTTTCAAAGGTTTTACACCTGCTCCCTTCCTCCCCCGCCCTGCCCTGGAAATACTTTCCAAAGATACACACGAAGTCACTTTCCAAATGCCCCTGAACTCACAGCCCATCCCCCTCCAGCTGTCACTTCTGGACCCACAACACAGCAATACACAGCCCTCCTGATCTGCACAGACACACACGCCCCCAGCTGGATCTAGTTTCTCTGCTGCACACAGGAGCCCTTGTGGATCAGAAGAGACCAGAGTACCCGTTCCCACACCCCCAAGGTCTCCCCCCTCTCGGCTCCCACCTTCAGACACTGTGCACAGCCCGTGGAGGTGGCTTCCGGCTGGGACTGCTGAACCTGGACAGGTGGGCGGGCCAGAGCAGAAGCTTGACTCTCCTGGAACTGTAGCGGGGTGGGCGGGGCGGAAGTGCAGGTGAAGGCAAGGCGGGGCCGCAACCGGGATTTGCAGCGCCCTCAGCAGGGAAGACTCATCTGACACCTCACCAAGTACTGAGGGGGAGCAGGCTTGCTCCCTCCTCCAATATTGTGGATTAGTGCAACTGGAGTGCAGAAGGGTCCAGCCTGTCCCTTCAGAGACAGAACAGACCTCAGCAGGCACCGCTACCAGCCCTGATAAACAAATGGATTTCTAGTGCCGGTACAAAGTCCAAAGTTGAAGCTGGGAGTTTTACAGGCCTGCGAAGGCAATGAGCCAGATGGTTCTATGGGGCGAGAGCAATGAGCTGTCTTCCCAGGCAGAGCCTGAGGGACCAAGCTTGTGCCAAACTTCCCTGCAAAGTGCTAGCACATGGTGTGTGTGTGTGTGTGTGTGTGTGTGTGTGTGTGTGTGTGTGTGTGTTCCAAAACTTCATCTGAGTCCCATGGTTCCCTTGACCCCACCTCCCCGGCCCTTAGCTTCCCTTTACCTTTGATCCTTCGGACTGGTGCCCCATTGTCCTTCAAGATACAGCCCAGGGGTCACCTCTATGCTGTCCAGCACAGCTTAGGACACCCCTGGTATCGGTGTTTCTCAGGATCTTGGCCTTATTCCTGCTTAGGCTGTCTCCTCTATCTACCTGGATGTTCTCCCAGGGTGGAAGACAGCCTCTGAGGTTCTCTGGGCTTTTTGTACTCAGCATAGTACCCGGAGCTGGACAGGATCAATAGATAATTTAAGGAGAAAGGATTGCCTGTGCAATGGTTACTGGGGAGCGGGTGTGCCAGGATCCAGGACCAGTGGGGCACAGCTGGAGAGAGGGCTTCCCAGAGGCGCTGCAAAGTGGATGATAAGGTTCTGAGATGTCCTCAGTTTACTGGCACAGGGCTGAGCTGGAAGGAAGGACAGCAGGCGTGGGAAGGGTTAATAAGTTACAGGCTAGGGGCCTACAAGAGCAAACATCTGCTTTACCTTCTGGAATATGTGTTAAAACATTGAGGGGCAGACATCCTGCTTGCAGCCCTAAGCTTATCCAGATACAATGGTTACTTCTCCGTGCAGACAACCTGCCTATCCCAAAGCCTTTCCCAGTTGGGAGTAATATCCCTCCCCTCTTACCTACCGTCAGTGTGGATTCAATGCCTTAAATTAAATGCCTGTCTTTTTGTTGTTGCTGTTGTTGTTTGTTTGTTTTTGCTTTTTGACACAGAGTTTCTCTGTGTAACAGTCCTGGCTGTCCTGGAACTCACTCTGTAGACCAGGCTGGCCTTGAACTCACAGAGATCAGCCTGCTTCTGCCTCCCAAGTGCTGGGATTAAAGGTGAGCTCCATAGCTCGGCTTTAAATGCCTGTCTTAATCTTCATTATGAAGTGCTGTGGCTTTTTAGCTCACATAGGCTTTTCTTCTCCCCTGCCCATCCCCACCCCAACTGCTACCTAGTATGGCTGGTAGGGGGTGTGGCAACCTGTCATAAGTCCTTTGGGGCTAGCATCTGCAACAGATCACTCAGCTGTTTCCTTTCCAAGATGTCTTGGTCTCAGAAGGTTTTGGTTGCTGTTGCTTTGTTTTGGGATATGCCTGTATGTTTAATTTTATTTTGAGACAGGGTCTCTCTGTGTGACCTAGGCTGTTCGTTATGAGTGGAGGCTGGCCTTGAACTCACAGAGATCCACCTGTTTCTGCTTCCTAAGCATTGGGGTTAAAGGCATGTGCCACCACACTCAGCCTGTCTCCAGAGTATTCATTTTGTTTTGCTTTGTTTTAGCAGGGGCATGGTGAAACTGTCTAAAGTATAGAAGTCTGTATGCAGGGCCTGGAGTGCCTTAGGCTGGAGTCCCGGGAACAGCCCTTTTGCCATGTTACTCTTCCCATATCACTCTGCCCCTTCCCACTCAACACTGTGCTCCAGCTCTGCTCACCTTCCAATGCCCAGGCCCTGCAGTGAACCCTTTTCCTACGCTCTGCACACTCTGACCCTGGCTTCCCCACCGACACTTCCAACTCCTGCCCCACGTCTATCTCCAGCTTCTCCCCAGAAAATTATTCCTCTTAGGCTCTTCACTTTGAGGGTCCCAGCTCTTTAGACCAAACTCCCCCGCCACTCCCTGATCTGGGTGATGCATCCTCTTCTCCCCTCTGTAGAAGAATTGCTGAACAGTCTTATTAAATAAAAAAAAATAACTTGGAAGCCAGGTATTGGGGTGAATTCTGAAATATTAGAGAAGCAGAACAAGCCATAGCTAACCTCACCTCACCAACTTCTCAGCCAATCCTGTTTCCTCAAACTGGAAGCCTCTGAGTCCTCATCCAAATGGATCTCAGCTGAACTGCTGCTAAAAGCTTAAAAGCGCCTAGTTCCTGGTGGTCCTCATGCCTTATATACCTTTCTGCTTCCTGCCATCACTTTCTGGGATTAAAGGCATGTGTCTTTCCCAAGCAAGACATGAGATCTCAAGTGCTGGGATTAAAGGCGTGTGTCACCATGCCTGGTTGTTTCCAGTGTGGCTTTGAACTCACAGAGATCCCGAAGGATTTCTGCCTCCCAAGTGATAGGATTAAAGGCATGTGTGCCACCATTTTCTGGCCTCTATGTCTATCTAGTGGCTCTTCTGTTCTCTGACCCCAGGTAAGCTTATTAGGGTGCACAATAAACTGGGGGACACAATATCACCACACCCCTCTATTGCCTTGGCCCTTTGCTCCCACAACCCAGTGCTGTGGTTTCTTTTTGGAAACCTTCAGTGAGCTCTAAGCTGTGATATGGTATCTTATTATTATCTTGTTATCAGCATATCCCCAATGTCTGTAATGATAACGATGAATATTTCTGAAATCAATTAATGAATTGGGACCTGACAGGTGAGGAGCCTGGGAGGAAGATGGGTGTGGGCAGGGATTGGGGTGCAGGCTGAGGAAAAGCAGGAATCTCATGAAAGGGGGAGACAACATGGAAAGCCTGAGATGAGGAATGAAGAAGGAAATAGTTGTCATCATAGGTGGGACAAGGAGGAACCAGGAAAAGTGGGTTGTATTTTATTTAAAAAAAAAAAAAATGTCATTCACTGACACCTAATCAACACCAGCCATGTTCCAGGCACCGTGTTTGTTTGTTTGTTGTTGTTGTTGTTGTTTGCTGCCCCATCCCATGCGCTTGTTTTTAAATGGAGATATTTCTGTAACATAACCCAGTTCTCAGGACCTCAATGGTCAGCCGTTCACAAGCATGGAATTCCACAGCCTTGGAGATCACAATTCTATGCAGCGCTTATCATCATCGTGGTCCTTTTCTCACACCAAAGGACATCTTTACCTACTAAGCAGCCGCTCTTCCTGTCCCCTGCCCCAGGTTCCAGTAGACCCCGGTCTTTCCATCTCTATGGACTTGCCTTTTCTGGATATTTTGTATAGATGTAATAACATCTGTGCCACATACATGTATTTACTTTATTTAGACAGAGTCTCACTGTGTAGCCCTAGCTGGCCTAGAACTCACTATATGTAGACCAGGCTGACCTCAAACTCACAGAGATCCACCTGCCTCTGCCTCCCGAGTGCTGGAATAAAAGGTGCATGCTACCACCACACCTAGCTCTGTGCCAGCTTTTGAAAGGGCTAGTTTGTTTGGTTCTCATAACCGTCCTATGAGGCAGATGTTAACCATCCCCTGGCCAAATGAAGACAATGAGACTCTGAGAAGAGAACTGACATAGGGTCCTGGCAGACGGAATAAACAAGTGGTCCACATCAGTCCTTTATTCCAAGAATATTTATTGAATGCACACCACAGAGGCACAGCCACCCAATAAGCAAAATTCACAGCAACCCCCCTGACTCTTGAGCCAGGAGCGCTGATGCAGTAGAACCTTCCACAGACAGCTTGGCAAGCATGGAGGAAGAAGCTCTGTGCATGTTGCCACCATCGTATTTTCATAGCAGTGATGGAGAACAGACCAGCAAAGAAATAAGATTATTTCAGATCATGGTGAGTGTTAGGAGGAAAGTAAACCAGGGGCTGGAGAGATGGCTCAGTGGTTAAGAACACTTGTGCTTGCAGAGGCCTTGGGTTCAATTCCCAGCATTCATGCGGTAACTCACGACCATCCATAACTCCAGTTCCGGGGGATCTGACACCTCTTCTGACCTCCACAGGACCAGGGATGCACCTAGTACACAGGCATACATGCAGGCAAAACACCATACACATACAATAAAGTAAATACTTAAAAAATAAAGAAAAGAGCTTCACGCAACAGCTTCATGGGAACATGGCAGGAGGCCGTGACTTCAGAAAGTCAGGAAGAGTTGACTCACTCTGACAGTTACTCTACTGTTGCTGTGACCAGAATGTGTAGCTCAAATTGCTAAACAGTTTTATTAATTTAAAAAAAAAAAACAAAAAACAAAAAAACCAAAAACCTGGAGCCAGATATCAGGGTGAAAACTGAGAAATCAGAGGAATAGAACAAGCCAGCCACAAGTTCTTACTGCTAGGAAATCCTCAGCCCAAGAGAGCTACTTCCTGTATACTCACGCCTTATATACCTTTCTGTGCCCTGCCATCTTACTTCCTCTCTCCGCCCAGCTACATCACTTCCTCTTTCTGCCCAGCTCTATCACTTCCTGTCTGTCTGTACAGACCTCCAGACCTCTATGGTTAACTAGTGCTGGGACTAAAGGCTTGTGCCACCATGTCTGACTCTGTTCCCAGTGTGGCCTTGAACTCACAGAGATCTGGATGAATCTCTGCCTCCCGAATGCTAGGATTAAAGGCGTGTGCTACCCCTACCTGACCTCTATATTTAATATAGTGGCTGGCTTTTTCCTCTGATCTCTAGGCAAGCTTTATTTGTTAGAGCACAAATAAAATATCAGCACAGAACCCTGACAGAAACAACTCAGAGGGGGAAGGACTTCCTTCGGCTCACTGTTTCAGATGGTTTCAGTGGATCACGGTTGGGGAAGATATGCCAGTAGTTCAAGTCATGATGGGGGTGGGGCAGGGTGGTGGAGGTTGTTCATATCGAGGTGGACCCAGGAGCAGACATTAAAGTAGGAAGTGGCAGCAATGATGCACCCTCAAGGACCTGCCTTAGAAACCTTCCTCCAGGTCAACTCCACCTCCCGAGCTTTGGAGAACCTCGCTAACCAACACCAGCAGTTGGGGACCAAGCGTTCAAAACATGAGCCTAGGAGAGATATTTCACATCCAAATCATAATGTTCTACCCTAGTCTCTAAAGGCTTACGGTGTAAAATCCTAGGATGTAAAATTCAGTCCGACTTCAAGTGTCTACACAATCTTAACATTTCCAACATTATTCTAAAGTCTTTCTGGAATCTCTACTGAGACCCAAAGCAATCTCTTAGCTGTGAGTTCCCTGTAAAGTAGAAGAGAAGGTTATGAATTTCCAATGTACAATGGTGTGAAGTAAACATTCCATTTCAAAAATTGAGGAATGCTTGTATAAGACGAAAGGGTAGGATCAAAGCCAGGCCAGTAAGGCAAACATTGAATCC